AGAGTCAGATGATGTTCTCAAAATTGAAACTAGGAAAAGAAATTGTTTATAAAACTCGTACAACACATACATGGGTGACTTTGAATAGTTCCTATTCATACAAAGCAGTAAGTGGAGAAGAAGAGTTATATATACAGGTTGTTAGAAAATTCATGCAAAAGAGTCATTCATAATAATTTTAGATTATGCAAGGCCCGTAACGCAAATACCAATAAAAATTGAAATTTACATCAAAAAAGAATACACTAGCTAGCCTCTACCTGCCTTTCTGATAGAATTTTCTCCGTAAACAACACAATTTCGTCATTTTCGGTTTTATCCATAATTCCACTAGGTAACTCAGAGGATCGAAGAGAGTCACTTGGTATTCGATTAGCTAGAAGATAAAAATTTCAACATGCTTGCTTTTATGTTGCTATCAAAAACCGACCTGCGCTAGTTCTTCCGCTAATTTCTTCTAATATCGTTCGAGAATTGAAATGCGATGATGAGTTGTGGCCATACAACATCGGAAGATACTGTATAGTACCACCCGACCAAACCTCAAACACACCCTTTGATACGAAGGGACAGAAAATTGCAAATGTAAACAATGAAAGACATTAGACATAAGTGTAAACACCAAACCAATAGAAGACTCACGATAGTAAGCAGTGAGCCGCCATCAAACTTGGGCAGAAAAGTAGTGATCGCAGCATTACCATATAAAGGAGCTTCCACAAAACCACTGAATGCGAATAAGTCAAATGTGAGATATTTCCTGCTATCAAAAATTATTCATTTAAAATGTCATACCATGGGGTTAATCGAACAGTTGGAGACCAGTCAACAATAAACAATGCAATGACAGTAGTATTCTCTGAAATAAAAGACTTCTTGGAAAATCTCAAAGTATTTCTAGAAAACAGGCCAAAGAATGCATCTTATAGAAACACGAAGATAATGCATAATGATTTCAAATGAAAATCTTGGATAAATCGGAAAGAATACCTGCGAAACTGACGGCTAACCGTTGGCCATCGGGACTCAAAGTCAAGCATTGAACTCGCCCGCCAATGGTGACAATCTCTCTGTAGTGATACCAATTTGAAACAAGGAAAATTAAGACCAAGTTCTTGGAATAGAATAATTAAAGTTGCAAACTACGAGGAAAATGTCTACGCACCTTTCAACAGCACCTTGAATTTCAAGTTCGGTAGGATCAAATTCGACAGGCGATAAATCGAACACAGGTGCCGCATGAGAATCACCGATCCAGCGTCTAAATTTCACATAGTAATGGTGTACAGCGCAGTTGGTCGTTTTATATAGGCAAACTTGGAACACAAATAGAGTGAAAAAGTAAATGGGAAGTAATACTGAGGATATTTCATGCAATCAGATATATTTCAAAGGAGACTTTAAACTAAATGAAATATATTCAATAAAAGAATGTGGAAGAAGATTTAATAAAAAGATGCGAGCCATCCTCTCAGTTGCCAACTAATTTACACAGTTCTACTCTAATTAAGACTGATTTAAATTTTTATCAAAAGAAACCTGGCATACTAAAAGTCGCCTTCTTAATAATATTTGAACAAATCAATTAAAAAATACATTCGTACATGATATAAAGACTGATTGATTTATGAACTCACGTCTCTGGTATCCCATCGTCGTTTATTGCCTTTTTTGCAACGAAATTCAAAGCATAGAGTTGACCGCTATCTTCGGTAACGAAAAGAAGGAAATCTCCACTTGGCGACCAAACAGCACTAACAGCACGTCCCGCTAAAGCACCCCAGCGCTCTTCTCTCCAGCAGTTTCGGTCGTAAACTCTAAAACTTCGGAATTTGCAATAGAAACTATAATAATAAATTGTAGTGTACCTGATGAGGTTGCCTGTGTAAAGAACAGCTAAACGGCGACCATCTGCAGTTGGTACTATTTGAGTAATATTTCCACCTGTCCATGCGCCAAA